AGGCTTCCGTATTATTTCAGTATGAAAACAGTGCATTACTCGGAAAATGAAAGTCATTGTAATACGGGAACTTATGCCAAAACTGAACAGAGGCCTTCAAGACATTATAAAAGTCCACTTGTCACTCATATTTCATCTTCAAAAATATCAAACTCGCAAAACAATGTATTTCCTATTATCCCAAGTTTATTTCGTCAAAAAGTCTTACAATGGAATATATCAGTGCCTGAATAATTGAAGGAACACAAACTTTGACAAACAGATTAGGACGCAAAAAAGTGTTTCCGCCGAAAAATTTGTAGTTCTTCGATAATAAAATCAATCTCCATCGGTTTTTCGTGATAGCTTATTTTTAAAATGGCAAAGACTTCACGTTTTCTACATTAGAAGAAATTTCTGATTAATTGATACCAACTTTGGAATATATCAGTAAATAATACTTGCCAATCAGCTGTAACGACGAATGCTACGACAACAAATGCTGTAACTCCAGAAAATACGAAATAAAATGAAAGGTGATAAACATCTGACATATCTTCCTGTCTTTATTACCACACCGACTGGTTAAAAGATAAAAGAAGACTTTCCATATTAATTTCTCGATTTCCATCAGCTTTTCACTTGATTCGCTTGTGTTCGGTATATCGAATCCGTGCAAGAAACCATGTTTGTCTGACAGTTCCCTTCCTTCAGCTTCCCCTGAACCAAACTTCTTCCGGAGCTCAAATCTCCTCTAAATTACAAGAATGAATTACGAATTACTGAAAAGGTGTATATAAAGGAATAAATCTGTTACATTTTTGCCTTACCTCCCATCCCCCTTATCTTTAACTTTTCACATAAGCAAGATTTTTCACTGAAAATTCGATAGGAAAATCTCCGCAAGTTATTCATTCAGTAGAAATTGTCCTTATACCGAAAAATAATTTCTACTGAAATAATTTCTACTGAAAAATAATTTCTACTTTTTACAGTTTGATAACTTTGCAATTATCAGAACGATCTAAGATAATTCATTTCGAGAAATCGCCATCGACACTTGCGACTTAGTAATCGTAGAAGGAACCAAATTAATCGACAGCTTATCCTAACATTAACTAGCAAAATACAATGCCACACTTTTCAGAATACCTGAAATCCTTTGTTGGTGTTTTACATCTAGCTCTTCTGCAGATAAATAAGATTTTCTCAAAGGGTTCTGTACAATTGGCACCTCCCATGTTGTTTGTTTCGTCTCCAAACTGAAATGAAATATCCTGAAATGCAACAAGAAACAAAAGTTGCTTTAAAAAAGTGCTATAGAACATCTTATCAGATTCTGAACATCGCAATTCGCAGAAAAGATATTTGCAATTTTATTCTCACCATTATTCTCTTATTCTCTTAATAGCAATTCCATTAATCCACTCTTAATTTCCAACGTAATACTTGCATATTTGAAGAAAGTTGAAGAATAACTTCTCACCAAACGTACTTTCACGTCTTACTCCACGCATGTTTACGAAAGGCATTCTTAAAACATTTCCCAATGTAATAGGCTATTCCTCTCTATCCTTTATTTCCGATCCACCTTATCGTTGGTGAGCATTTCCCGAGATTTTAAGCAACAAAATTTACTGTGAATATGAACAATGGCTACAACGTTATAATATACAACAAGTACATTTACATTTTCCATCACGTAAATTTACATTACTCCTAATATACCGCAGAAGCTTTAGTACACTGTATTTTAAGTATCCTTAATCATTTTTTTTCTTCCATTAACTGTCCTAACATAAATGTCCTCTTATTTATTGCTATCGGATTCCCCACATATTTTCCCAGTCTCTCAACATGTTGCACTATCTCATAAATTTTATCAATCTTTGTCTCTCTCAAAACTTCCTCTCTCCCTCGATTTATATTGCTCTCAGTGCTCAACATGTTCCAATCATTTATTACTTCAAATTTCCCCAACTACGATAATCTCATCGTCTCTTTGTAATTAACGCTATTTCTTTACTTTTGAAAAATTCCACTACTTACTACTTTCTTGTCATCCATTTTTGTGCTTAAAGAGCAACATAGTCCTTCTCTGAGTAGTTTTAAAATTTATTGAAAATTAAAAAATTACGAAAGAAATAACGTCGCAGCCATTCTGCAGTATCAGTAGTCCGGCTTGCAAAATTCATTCAAGGTCGTCCGCCATCCGAATAATCCGAAGAATAAAAAGCCTCGTGTCTTTTTTTTTCTGCTTCTTCCAGCGAACGTTGATCTTTTTCTATCAAATCCTATAATTGGGGTGAAAAAAAGTAATCGGAATCAGAAAAGGAAGCGAAATCGTAAAGTTAGCAAGTTATTTTAAATATTATAAAAGGTTCTTAAAACTCTCTTTCCGTTCTAACAAATCTCCTGTGTTCCGTTTTACTTCCTTATAATATAGGCAATAGTATTGGGTCTTCCTTAAGTAAATGCTGTATGTTCGATATAAAATCTGCTAAGATGGAAATCGTTTTAAATCAATCGTTTCTTTGGATAAATGTGTTTAAATAATCAAGTTGTTACTTAATTTCGCTAATAATGAAATATTCAATATTGCAGGAAACTGGGAATTTCAAAAACTGCAATATTGAGCAGTTAGTGAGGTATCGCTGTCGAAATATCCCCTACAGTTAGTACCTAAACTCAGAAAATCCTTTGGTATTTATCCGATATTGAAAATACAATCTGAATTATCATGATAAATTCAGGAGAGTGCCAAAACCATGGATCAGAGCGATGGTTGCAGTGACAACACTCTTCAGGATTTAGCTTTTGGTCCAAAAGATGAGGAAATAAATGGCACTACATGTTTTTGATGTTTCTTTTTGTTATGGGTCAGTTAACCTGATTATCAAGCTATATAGCTGTTTTTTCTTTTCACACTTCATTTGTGCATACTTATGTCTAGTGTACCACTGTGTCATTATTGGTAACGCAATGAATGTAGCTCGTAGTTAGATATTATTGGTACAGCTCATAATTTGTAGCGTATAGTTAACCATTGAAACATTGGTAGAATAATGAGTCGAGTTTTAGGACACATGACTGGAGAGTTTGCACATTCGACACCACCGCATTCAGTGGCAACAAGTGCATCTGTCGGCTACCATATTCCACCTCGTCTTCGAACTTCGTAGAATCTGGTATGAATTTTTTGGACTGATTTAGACAAGTTGTAGTATTTCGAACTGATCTTAGAACTATTAATTTGAAAATTTTACAGGTAATACATCGCATGGTATGCATCGCAGGGATGATATGAAGTGGCAATACTGCTGTACAAGCAAGTTTTAGAAGATTTGGAAAAAACAAGTGGACACGATTACCTGGATGTCGCGACAGTGCTTAATATTCTGGCCCTTGTTTAGCGGTATTTCTTTCAATTTGTCAACGACGCAGCAATGTGATTATCTTTTTGATCATCATTATGATCTTGGTTAAAGTAACTTTATTACGGTTATTTGAGGAATCGGGAACATTTTTTTTCTTCTGTACTGACTCCAATTAATTCCCAGAGGATACCAAAAAAAAAAAAAGATTGTTCGTAGGGGAGTTCCTGATCCATCTTAGTATGAAAGTGTAAGGTAGTTGTCAGAGAATCTTGAAAAGAGGATCTGTATGCCCACCCAACATTTTAATATAGGATTTCCTATTCATAATTGAATTCTTTTTTTTTTCTAGTATTCAAAATATATATAAGGAGACAGCCATTTTTTGCTGACGTCAAATACTGTCGAACTAATCCAATTTTGATTTGAAATTTTATATTCTTGTGCTATAAACAGTTCCATAATTATTGATTACTTTTATTTATAGAGTACCAATAAGCCCGACAACCTTTAAATTTTTAATAGGAATCAAATTTCATGTAATATTTTTCACAACAGTATCGTAATCATATATCTTTGTTCATTTCCACAATAAAAAAAACAAAACGATGAGCGAAATATATTGTACATTATAAGCATACTTTAAGGCACGTCTTTTCTGTTTCATAACTCCACGGTTAACTTCGTAAACGGATGACTGCTTCCTTTTTTTTTGACATATTTCCACTACTCATCCTTTCGACATTTGTTTCAGATCTTCCTCCTCTTCATTTTCATCCTGTTGTCATCCCAGCGCATGGACGGTAATCTTAAAAGAAGGCAGCTAACTTCCGTCTTGGCCGTTTCCAGAAGTTCCTCTTTGACCATCGTTCTCCTTCCTTGCTCCTTCCTCTACCACATCGGCGGGTTCCGGAAGTTTCTCCTTGACCATTTCCGCAACTTCATAAAACATTATGTAAGAAGATTTCAACAATCATTCAGTGCTTATCATCCCGTCTTATGTTCCTTATTTTATTCTTCAACTCACACACACCACATACACATATACGCATATATGTATATATATAGTATATATATATATATATATATATATATACTATACATGCACCACCCATAAACACACACCATGCATATACTCACATACACAAACACACATGTTTATGAATATGCGTTAAGAGATTTCAAATGGATTTTTCAGACATCTTTGACCGCAATAAAATTTTGCAGTTTACTACGGAACATCTTTTATTTCGACGTACGGCTATGCTCGGTAGCATATTAAACGATGTATTGGATCAAAAACGGGACTCTAGTTCATGCAAAGTAGAGAAAGCACATTGTAATTATAAACTTCATTAAGCAG